CACTGGACTTTTTTGTTTTTCTTTGAAGACATTTCACTTCTCATCTTAATAAGCTTCTTCAGCTCTGACTGGAGGGTGGGGAATGGAAGGATTTATACTCCTTGCAGACAGCTGGTCATTTGCCTTCTTTCAGAGGGTCGTTGAGGCCACCTGGAGGTTTACCTGTGTCCTCTGGCTCACCTGAGTGGTGCAAATGGGTGTGGAGCCTTCTTGGAACCGCTGAAAGGACCGTGTTGTAGACTGGAGACAGATGGTGTCAGATCCCTCCCCCTCTGTTGAGGGAGGGCTGTTCAGTTTTGACCTAGATGACCTCTTTGGCCCCTCTTTCAAACCAGCCGTTGTCTCTGTCCAGAATGTGGACTTTGCTGTCTTCGAAAGAGCGGCCGTGGTCTTTTAAATGCAGATGTCAACGCTGCTAACATCGGATGTTTTTGCTTTGGCAACAGTTGGAGATGCAACCCTTTTCTTCTTATGTTTTACTTTTAGAGTTAGAGCTAGAGTTAGATGACGCTGGGGGGGGGGAGGAATGTGCACGAGAGTTTAGCTCAGTGGTTCTCAACCTTTTTAATGCCGCGACCCCCAACCGGTCGTAAGTCGAGGACTAAACCGGTCGTAAGTCGAGGACTAAACCAGTCGTAGGTTGAGGACTACCCAACCGGTCGTAAGTCGAGGACTTTCCCTGTCCGGGAGCGCCGCGCATGTGAGGTTACGCCCCCTGCGCCGGCCGAGGCGTAGCTGGCAAGCGGCAGAGACAGAGCAGGCCGACCACCAGCTGGCCCAGCTCAAGGGAGGTAAGGCACCCGCCGGAAAAGGGGAAAAGAAATGGCGGACAGCCTTGCTTGGCGACCCCCATGAAATGGTCGATCGACCCCAAATGGGGTCGCGACCCATAGGTTGAGAACCGCTGGTTTAGCTAGACATAACAATACTGGACCTAGCGTGAGAATCAAGGTTATTGAAATAAGAGACGATAAGAATTGGCCAGACTGGAGAACTGGCGGGAAAGCCTGCATTTCAAGCTAATTGGGGAATGTCATTTATGACAGCGAGTTGGAGGAGGGAATTGTGCTTTGATACTAAGTGCTCAGGGGAGGGGAATCCAGTTTTTGGCTTCGACTGTGTTAGTGCTGATGCTATGCTTCTTGAATAAGGATTCTTTAAGATAAACAATGCCTCGAAGTTCTTTGAAGAGTTTCATCTGTCAGAACCAGGACAGCAGATGGGCTGCCGAACCTCGTCCTGATGGGTTTGCTCTCCTATGTTGTGCCAAGCGTTTGTGAAGAGGTTGTTTCGTTTCCCCAATGTACAGATCTGCACAGGGCTCACTGCATTGTACTGCATAGACCATGCTGCTCAGCTTGTGTCTGTGAGCTTTATCCTTGGGGTGACCAAGGTTCTGCCTTAGTGTATCCGTGGATTTAAAGCAGGGGTCTTCCAACTTGGCCCCCTTATGCCTCGTGGACTTCAACTCCCAGAATTCCTCAGCCAGCCATGCTGAGGGGAAAGGGAGAGGTTTCCAAACTGAGCCATGCTGGCTCAGGAATTCTGGGAGTTGAAGTCCACGAGTCACGAAGGGGCCATAGTTCCCCCATGCTGGTTCAGGAATTCTGGGAGTTGAAGTCTGCCAGTCATGAAGGGGCCATAGTTCCCCCATGCTGGCTGAGGAATTCTGGGAGTTGAAGTCTGCCAGTCATGAAGGGGCCATAGTTCCCCCATGCTGGCTGAGGAATTCTGGGAGTTGAAGTCCTCAAGTCATGAAGGGGCCATAGTTCCCCCATGCTGGCTGAGGAATTCTGGGAGTTGAAGTCCTCAAGTCATAAAAGAGGCAAGGTTGCCTACCCCTGCCCTAAATGAATAAATCGAGGACTGCCTATAATTGTCACTTTCTTAAGATTTGCCTAGCTTGGGTAGGCAACCTTGGCTCTTTTGTGACTGGGACTTCAACTCCCAGAATTCCTGAGCCAGCCACGCTGAGGGGAAAGGGAGAGGTTTCCAAGCTGAGCCATGCTGGCTCAGGAATTCTGGGAGTTGAAGTCCACGAGTCACAAAAGAGCCAAGGTTACCCACCCCTGCCCTAGGCCTAGGCCGCTTTATGACTGGTGGACTTCAACTCCCAGAATTCCTGAGCCAGCCATGCTGAGGGGAAAGGGAGAGGTTTCCAAGCTGAGCCATGCTGGCTGAGGAATTCTGGGAATTGAAGTCCACCAGTCATGAGGGGGCGATAGTTCCCCCATGCTGGCTCAGGAATTCTGGGAGTTGAAGTCCACAAGTCATAAAAGAGCCAAGGTTGCCTACCCCTGCCCTAGGCCTAGGCTGCTTTATGACTGGTGGACTTCAACTCCCAGAATTCCTGAGCCAGCCATGCTGAGGGGAAAGGGAGAGGTTTCCAAGCTGAGCCATGCTGGCTGAGGAATTCTGGGAATTGAAGTCCATAAGTCATGAGGGGGCGATAGTTCCCCCATGCTGGCTCAGGAATTCTGGGAGTTGAAGTCCACAAGTCATAAAAGAGCCAAGGTGGCCTACCCCTGGTCTGGATGACTGAGAAACTGCATAGACTTTTCTCCCCTGGATTACAGGTAGGAACCTCGGTTGAAAGCCGGCCCTTCTGTGGAAGCAAGTAGACAACAGGACATCCTGCCCTCGTTTTTGTTCTGTTCCAGACGGGGAAGTGATGTCCCTGGCACTGTTTGTACCTGGTAACCAGGGGAACGGGATAGTCCCTGCACTGCCACACTAACTGCCAATATTTTCCTCTCCCCTGGTTGAGAAATTAAACATATCCTAAAAATCAAAGTATCATTCCCCCCCCAACCTCAAGCACAACATCCAGAAGCAGTTTCCAGGTAGAAAGAAAATTACTTTTTATTCTTTTCTTTTGTTTGGAACCGTCCGTTCAGCCATTTCTGCCGACTCCCATCAATTTTTGTAGCCATACGTCCATGGTGGGAATCGAGAAATCCTTCCATTTTTTGTGCGTAGGGCAGTCTTATAAATCTAGAATAGAATAGAATAGAATAGAATAGAATAGAATAGAATAGAATAGAATAGAATAGAATAGAATAGAATAGAATAGAATGAGAAAGAGAAGAGAAGAGAATCTAGAATAGAAATAGAATAAGAAATAGAATACGAAAGAATAGAATAGAATAGAGACTAGACTAGACTAGAATAGAATAATAGAATAAGAAATAGAATAGAATAGAATAGGAATAGAATAGAATAGAATAGAATAGAAAAGGAGACTAGACTAGACTAGAATAGACTAGACTAGACTAGAATAATAAATAGAATAAGATATAATAGAATGAGGAATAGAAGAGAAGAGAATCTAGAATAGAAATAGAATAAGAAATAGAATACGAAAGAATAGAATAGAGACTAGACTAGACTAGACTAGACTAGACTAGACTAGAATAGAATAGAATAGAATAGAATAGAGATTAGACTAGACTAGACTAGAATAGAATAGAGATTAGACTAGAATAGAATAGAATTTCTGCCACTAAGCAAGACAGTGCCTGTGAGTTTTGCCCCGTTTTACGACTTTCCCTGCCACAGTTGTTAAGTGAATCCCTGAAGTTGTTAAATTAGGAACATGGTTGTTAAGTGACTCTGCCTTCCCCATTGACTTTGCTTGGCCGAAGGTCGTAAAAGGGGATCCGATGACCCCCGTCATAAATGCAGCCGCCAGAAATACGAAGCAGTTGCCAAACATTCAAATTTTGATTCCACGAGCAGGGGGACGCTGCAACGGTCGTAATGGTGTAAATTGGTCATGTCACTTTTTTCAGTGTGAACGGTCACTAAATGAACTGTTGTGGGTCAAGGACTATCCGTATAATAAAAACTGACAATACAAGGAAGAGACAGATTTGTGTCGGAAGAGAGAGGAACTTTAAAATCGACAATGTATGCCTTCATTAGTAGTTGTATTTTGACCCAACTTCCAGATGTCTAAATTTATGTAACTAAACTCCTGTAATCCCTAGACAGTCGGGCCAAAACTGTCCTAGTTGGTGATTAAAAACAGAATTACATGTATTGCTGATGTACACGTAAGATTCCTTCAGAAGTTCCATGTTAAATCAGAAGGATTCTTGCTATAAGATTCTTGCTATAAGAGCCCTGGTGATGCAGTGGTTAAGAATACAGCATTGCAGGCTGACTCTGCCCACTGCCAGCAGTTCGATCCTGACCGGCTCAAGGTTGACTCAGCCTTCCCTCTTTCCGAGGTGGGTAAAATGAGGACCCAGATTGTTGGGGGTAAGAGGCTGACTCTGTAAACTGCTTAAAGAAGGGCTGTAAAGCACTGTGAAGCGGTATATAAGTCTAAGGGCTATTGCTATATCTTGTTTTCTCAAGAGCACACACAAAGGTCTAGAAATTTGCCCTGTTTTTTTTGCACTTTACATTGTGTAGTTCCAGGTAACTATCAAGCTAGAGCAGTGTTTCTCAACCTGCACCATTTTGAGATATGTGGACTTCAACTCCCAGAATACCTTAGCCAAGTAATGCTGGGAGTCGAAGTCCACGCATGCTGGCTGGGGAATTCTGGGAGTCGAAGTCCACGTTTGCTGGCTAGGGAATTCTGGGAGTCGAAGTCCACGCTTGCTGGCTGGGGTATTCTGGGAGTTGAAGTCCATACATACTGGCTGGGGAATTCTGGGAGTCGAAGTCCACACATACTGGCTGCTGGGGTATTCTGGGAGTTGAAGTCCATACATACTGGCTGCTGGGGTATTCTGGGAGTCAAAGTCCACACATACTGGCTGGGGAATTCTGGGAGTCGAAGTCCACACATGCTGGCTGGGGTATTCTGGGAGTTGAAGTCCATGCATGCTGGCTGGGTGATTCTGGGAGTTGAACTCCACGCATCTTAAAATTGCAAAAGTTGGGAAACACCGAGACAGAGAGAGAGAGAGAGACCACTAAGAAATCTCTTCTTTGTGATATTTTTTTGTGCTTGACTAAGTTTTCGTTTCTCTCTTCCGTTCTTACAGGAAAGAATGCATCTTCACCATTGACCCATCCACCGCCAAGGATCTGGACGACGCTCTGTCTTGCAAGCCGCTTCCAGATGGTAGGATGCTATCTCTTAATATTTCATGTCCAGCTGCTGCCATGTTCTGTTCAAAGATATTTTATCCTGGAAACTGAGATTTCGCCTGGAGTGTATAAAGGGGGGGGGGAGTGAATGGCGCGATGGCTTAGCCCAGGGGTAGGCAACCTCGGCTCTTTTATGACAGGTGGACTTCAACTCCCAGAATTCCTGAGTCAGCATAGCTCAACTCACGTGAGCGTTTACCGCAAGTATTGCGGGCGTTTACCGTGAGTGTTGAGGGCATTTGCGGGCCAACTCGCACGAGTGTTTCCGTGAGTGTTGCGGGCGTTTACCGTGGGGGCGTTTGCGGGCCAACTCACGTGAGCTTTTACCGTGAGTGTTGCGGGCATTTACCGTGAGTGTTGAGGGTATTTGCGGGCCAACTCATGCGAGTGTTTCCGTGAGTGTTGCGGACGTTTACTGTGAGGGCGTTTGTGGGCCAACTCACGTGAGCGTTTACTGCAAGTGTTGCAGGCATTTACCGTGAGTGTTGAGGGAATTTGCGGGCCAACTCGAACGAGTGTTTTCGTGAGTGTTGCGGGCGTTTACCGTGAGGGAGTTTTACCGTGAGTATTGAGGGCATTTGTGGGCCAACTCGTGCGAGCATTTCCATGAGTGTTGAGGGCATTTACCGTGAGGGAGTTTGCGGACCAACTCACGTGAGCGTTTACCGCAAGTATTGCGGGCATTTACCGTGAGTGTTGAGGGCATTTGCGGGCCAACTCGCACGAGTGTTTCCGTGAGTGTTGCGGGCCTTTACCGTGGGGGCGTTTGCGGGCCAACTCACGTGAGCTTTTACCGCAAGTGTTGTGGGCGTTTACTGTGAGTGTTGAGGGCATTTGCGGGCCAACTCGTGTGACCGTTTACGTGACTGTTGCGGGCGTTTACTGCAAGTGTTGAGGGCGTTTGCAGGCCAACTCGCGTGACCGTTTCCGTGAGTGTTGCGTGTGTTTGCCATGAGTGTTGCGGGCATTTACCACCAGTGTTGAGGGCTTTGCGGGCCAACTTGCGCAAGCATTGCTGCGAGTGTCACGGGCGTTTGTGGCCCCATTTGCGTCGTGGGCGTTTGCTGTCCAACTCACGAGCATCGCTGCAAGCGTGGTGGGCGCTCACGGCCCCACTCACATGAGCAACGGGTGTTTGTGTGCACGCACATGCGTTGACCCCTTTTCACAAAACCATCCCTTCTTTCTCCGCTCCACCCGCTCCGGGCCATCAACCCCAAAAGGTTGGGGACCTCTAATGTAGACAAATGCAGGAGATCAGTCCTCTTGGAGAAAAAACAGCCCATTCTCTCTATAATAATAATAATAATAATAAAGTTGGAAGGGACCTTGGAGGTCATCTAGTCCAACCCCCTGCTCAGGCAGGAAACCCTATCCCATTTCAGACAAATGGCTGTCCAGTCTCTTCTTAAAAACGTCCAGTGTTGGAGCATTCACCGCTTCTGGAGGCAGGTGGTTCCACTGGTTAATTGTTCCGTCTGTCAGGAAATTCCTCCTTAGTTCTCCTTGACTAGTTCCCATCCGTTGCTTCTTGTCCTGCCTTCAGGTGCTTTGGAGAACAGGTGGACCCCCTCTTCCTTGTCGCAGCCCCTCAAAAATATTGGAAGGCTGCCTTCATGTCACACACACACCCTCCCGTCCTTCTCTTGTTCGACAGCGTCTTTTCCTCCATTAAACAACTTTCCCCACCAGTGGACTTTTTTTTCCCCTTCCTCCCACCCCCGTCCTAATGCTTCACCGAAATCTACATCTCTGCAATTTCTCCAAGTGAGTCCTTCGCCTCCATTCCAATTTGCAAAGACAGCCGGGGGTGCCGCTTCCCAACCCTGTGTAAACTCAGAGAGCATTTCCTAGTAGAATTGAGCCTTCTGGAGTGGAGCATGGAAGAGTCGTAAAAACAGCTGGCGGTGGTGATTGGGCCAGAAATGGCCTTTTCTCTCTCTCTCTCTCTCTCTCTCTCTCTCTCTCTCTCTCTCTCTCTCTNCTTCATCTCTTTTGGCTCAGCGATTTTGCAGTTGAATGGAGGCTTCAGAGGGCCAGCCAAGTTCCAGAAAGTTTCTCCCCGTTGTAAGTTCTCTGCTGCCTGCCCCCCCCTCCCTTCCCCTTGTATGGCAGAGAGAGAGAGAGAGAAAGAGAGAGAAATGTGATCTTCACAAATCTGATCTTCTTTTGCCTGTGACTTTTTAAACTGCTTGCCTTCGTGGGATTTTTTTTATTATTATTTTTTTGGGTGGGGGGAAAATTGGTTTTCTGGACTTTGCTGGCTGGTAGGGAGGGTGAGGTGTGAGGCCGAGCGGAGAGCGAACTCTTCCTCAAGGTGACTTGTAAAAAAGTTGAGAAGACTTTGCGGGCAGTAAGGAATTTGGGCTGGAAGAAGACAGGAGCAGGTGGGATAGACAGAGGGGGGGGAAGAGTGCAGGTGGTCCTCAACTTACGGCCACCGCTGTGTGCGAAATTTCTCTTGCGAAGGGTGATGTTTGCTGTGTGGGTGGTGCCCCGTTTTGCAGCCTTCCTTGTTGAGCGAATCACTGCAGTCGATTAATAATAATAATAATAATAATAATAATAATAATATATTATTATTATTATTATTATTATTATTATTATTATTATTATTATTATTATTATTATTATTATTATTATTATTATTATTATTATTATTATTATTATGGGACTTCAGAATTCAAACAGACAAGCACCTGCAACATAACACCCCAGACTTAACAATTGTCGATAAGAAAGACAAAAAAGTCTGGATAGTGGACGTGGCAGTGCCTGGAGACAACAGAATAGAAGAGAAAGAACTGGAGAAGATAACAAAATACAAAGACCTACAAATAGAAATAGAAAGATTGTGGCAAAACCAAGCAAAGGTAGTACCAATAGTAATAGGGGCCTTGGGTGCAATCCCAAAACAACTGGAGCACCACTTGAACACCATTGGCATTGACAAATTCGCTATTAGTCAATTGCAAAAGGCGGCCTTACTAGGAACTGCTTCCATTCTGCGACGATATCTGTAATACCATCAAACATCCACATCTGCCTATCCCAGGTCCTGGGTAAGGACTCGATAGGTAGACAAAATGCCAAATCCAGTCTGAACATCTGGCTGTCTGTGCGATGATCCATAATAATAATAATAATAATAATAATAATAATAATAATAATAATAATAATAATAATAATAATAATAATAAAGTTGGAAGGGACCTTGGAGGTCATCTAGTCCAGGGCTTTTCAACCTTTTCACCCATTGTACCACTTTTAGGATAGGGCAACATCTGAGTACCACCAGTCGCCTAGCAAGGTGTCAAAAACTTGATAACCAAAAAAAAAAAAAAAAAAGGAAAAAAGTGATAAAGTACAAGCTACGCTGGCTGAGGAATTCTGGGAGCTGAAGTCCACACGTCTTAAAGTGGCCAAGTTTGAAGATCCGTGCACAAAGGACCAAAGCAACAATGGCCTTGAACGACCCATGCCGGCAACTTTTCCAGAAGCTTCTCAAGCAAGTCACCCACAGAGCGAAAAGTCCCTCCTCCACCCATTATCAGCTTAAATCCAGGGTGGGCTGTATCTGCAACAGCTAATAAATTAGGCCTCAGGGATTTCTCAAATCCGGTTAGGAAACCGCTTTGGGAGACGGCAAAACAAAGGAGAGGGGTCCAGCCGTTCCGAAGCGATGTGCCAGCAGCAGCGTAAGCCTAGGAAATCACTCACACGTGGCACCGGCGTGGCCCTGAAGCCCCTCGCAAGAGCGACTTTTTTTTAACGTGCGGTGGCCGACGCGACAACCTGTGTAAAAAGCGACCAGGTGCAGCGCCTGGCCACGGGATAGCTAGCCCGTCAGGCATTCTGGAAGACGGCGAACAGCTCTGTCCCGGCCAGATCCACGCAGAACATCCAGTACTTGCAATTCGCCAAGTTTCTTGCGCTGTAAATATTTCGACACCCTACGGGAAAGCCGTAGTCCTCGGCTTCTGACTGACTGCAGAAATATGCAAGGGGATTCCACAAAGGCAGATAGGAAGATTGCGGCACCGCTTCCAGGCTGCGGAACGGGAGCAAGCCGCAGCTTCCCAAGCTCCGGGTGAAGCCAGGCCACGGAGCGACGGAGTGGAGATCAAAGGATATGTAGAGACCTGGCTGTTAAGGTCAGGGCAAAGTCTCCAAAGGAGGCAGAAGCCATTAGCCACCCTTTTTCTGAATTAGCTCCTTTGCTCAGATGGATCTTAGAATTAACAGAATAATAGAGCTGGAAGGGACCTTGGAGGTCCTCTAGTCCAACCCCCTGCTCAGGCAGGAGACCCTATCCCATTTCAGACAAATGGCTGTCCAGTCTCTTCTTAAAAACTTCCAGTGTTGGAGCATTCACTGCTTCTGGAGGCAGGTTGTTCCGCTGGTTAATTGTTCTCACTGTCAGGAAGTTTCTCCTTAGTTCCAGGTTGCTTCTCCTCTCCTTGGTTAGTTTCTTGTCCTGCCTTCAAGGGCTTCGGGGGCTTTGGAGAACAGGTTGACCCCCTCTTCTTTGTGGCAGCCCCTCAAATATTGGAAGGCTGCTATCATGTCTCCTCTAGTCTTTCTCTTCATTAGATTAGACATACTCTGTTTCTACAACTGTTAACAGAATAACAAGAGTTGGAAGGGACCTTGGAGGTCTTCTAGTCCAATCCCCTGCTCAGGCAGTAGACCTTACACCAGGGGTCTTCAAACTTGGCCCTTTTATGACTGGTGGACTTCAACTCCCAGAATTCCTCAGCCAGGCACGCGTGCCTGGCTGAGGAATTCTGGGAGTTGAAGTCCACCAGTCATAAAAGGGCCCGAGTTTGAAGGCCCCTGACTTAAATCTAAGAAACAAAATGGAGGCTGGCTGAGGAATTCTGGGAGTTGAAGTCCACAAGTCATAAAAGGGCCACGTTTGAAGGCCCCTGACTTAAATCTAACAAACAAAATGGAGGCTGGCTGAGGAATTCT